CGTCCAAACCACACTGTGGTGTTAGAGCGAGGGTGGGGGAGGCACCGCTGAGGCCTGGCCCTGGGAGGCCACCCTGGAGAAGCCGCACAAGAAAACCCATCTGTGGTAGTGATGGGGTCCTGGCAAGGGTTGGGGGGGTATGAAACATGGAAAGAGCCCCTCTAAACCCCCAGGTAGTCTCATGTTAGCTGTCAGCAACCCTGGGAATAAGTTCCGGCCTCCAGAGCAAAGTAGAGTCTTTGTTGCCCACACCCAGCTCTCCTGGCTCTAGCAGCACAGAAATATTGGCACTGGGAAGCGAGTCTGCCAGTATTGGCTGTGCTGCTCCAGGCAGGGTGCTGAGAGCTACCGAGAAGGGGCTGGCCCTCAAGGCGAAGCAGAGGAGAGGGAACAGCAGCTGGCAGCACCATTCTGAGAGAGTTTTTTTATTATAATTTTCTGTATAAAAATGTCCATCGGCAGACGGAGGTCAGAGGGTGAGGGCACAGGTTTATCAGGAACAGGGCGCCAGCTCTGGTGGCTTTCTGACCCTCTCTCATGCAGTCCTTGCTTAGAGTCCCAGGTGATCCACAGGTCCACGGTGAACAGTGAGGGTCAGAGTCGGAAGGCTCAGCAGGAGAGGAGAGGAGCATCAGCAGAGGTGGAGAGAAGGCCAGAGTCTAGGGTCAGGCTGTCTGGAACAGGGAGGAAATGGACCGGGATGGAGCAAGCACGGAGTGTGTCTCTGAGAAAACCCTCACCTTCTCAAGCATCATTACTAACTGACCCGACCCCTGCACTGAGTACCTTCCCTTCTGAAGCCCTTGCACGAGAACCGGGTTTCTGCTGGCCCCTCCCCTACCGTCCAGGTGAGTACTTCTTCCCCACCCCAGCCAGTGTGGGAGGAGGAGGACTCCTACCCTGGTCAAAGTTGAGTTTCTTGGCTGGAGGAGTTTCTCCTAGCCCTTCTACATCCACCAGGTCACTGTTGGCATCGGAGTCGTTCAGAGCACTGAGTGTCACATCTGGGAGGGGCATAGGCTAGGTTCTAGGTCTCCTGACTGCTTTCCCTCCTCCCAGTCTTCCAAAGCTTCATGCTCTACACAGCCCTCTGCCCGTTTTGGGATCACCAGAGTACAGAAGCACCACCTGTCCTTCTCTGACCCAGGCCCAGTTCTCATTGAATCTCAAATAGGACCTTCAGCCCCTACCCTAGGCAGCAACTCCACAGCCCTCACCAGCCTTCTGTTTCTTTAGGGGAGGACCCCCAGCTTCAGGGACACTGGAGCTGCTGGGTGGAGGGGCGGCTGGAGGCGAGAGGACCCCGGATGTCATCTTCTTGGGCCCTTTCTTGGGGGACTCGGTTGTCAGAGGGACGCCAGAGTCTTCATATACTTTTCGCTTTACAGTGGTCTTTATCTGAGCCCTAAAGAGAAGAGGAAGCAGATTAGGGAGGCGGTCATCAGAGAAACTGAGGGAAGGGGGGGGGGGGTAATGGGCCACTCTGAAGGAATTCTACGAGTTTCTTCAAAAGTATCCAGATCAAGGCCCTAATCCATGTGTAATAAGGGCCTCAGCAGCTCTGGGCCCACTCAGGGTTATGAAGAATGGCCTCCCTGAACAGAGCAGCCAGAAAAGCCCTTTTCATGAACCTCTGAAGAGATATATGGATGTGTAGGGCCGCCCCCCCCCCCCAGGTATGTTGTGGTGAAATAAAGGCAGATTGAGACTTTTTCGTGGATCCTGACCAGTTAGCCGGTTCAGAATGCAATCCTGGAAATGCTAGTCTCAACGGATTTATAGAAATAGCCAGGGAACCCTCATCAACTACACCCATTGAGTATCTGGGCACCTGAAAAGAAAGTTCTCTGAAGGTCCTAATTACCATTGCATTTCCTGAACTTCCGAGCAATTGCCACAATTATTATAGTCTTTCAGTCTTCAAGGAAATGCTAACGAAACTAGCAACAAAGTAGGAAAGATGCTGAGCTGGGGAGTCGGAGAAAGAACAATGGGTAAGGAGAAGAAAGTTGCCCGCCCCTCCCCTTTCTCTGCCAGCCACCCTCCCTCACACTGTCCGTTCCTTGATGACACAGCTGATGTGATTAAGATCGTCCCCAAATCGCTTGACAGCAGCCCTCAGCATCTCTATCTCCGTCTCGGTCCACTTGGCGCTGTCGGAAGGGGAGAAGGGTGATAGCAAAAACGGAAGGAGGAGTGTGTGGAGGCAGCCCACAGGCTATTCCGTCCACAGCCAAGCAGCCTCTTTCCCCTAGTCTCTGGGCACCTTTCAGAGATTCGTAAAGAGGAGCTCCCTAAGAAAAGCCCTGGAGACAATCGCTAGCCACATGAAATTGCATCCAGAGCCACCTGAAAAACATCTCTCTCCATCCATCACGTAACAGCTGCTATAAACAACCCACGGAAACCAATGCAACAAGTAGGGGCCTTACAAACGGAACCCTTGAAAGGTGTGTAGCAGCAGCGAGGGATTCCACACGGCTCGGGGTGGGTGGGAGACAGTATGTCGGTCTGCAGTGGGGGATTGTGGACCTGGCAGTATCGTCACCTGCCATTCACTAACTCAACAATGACTAGCAACTACACCGCGCTGGCACACGGGGTTTAATACAGCTCCCAGATCTAGAGAGGGTCGTGTCTGTGACTGAATCCAAGCGTCTGCTCTCGGCGTCCAGGTCCTAGGCTGGTCTCACGTACCCGGCAGGGGAAGAGTCCGACACTGGATGCAGCTGCATAGTCAGCTCCCCGAGCTTCGTGAAGGCGGCGCCGGCTGCGGAGAAGATCTCTCCAACCTGGGGGCGGAGCAGCATTACGGGGGGCCGGCAGCGCGCCGTCCCAGCCCAGCCTCGGATCCGCCCGCCCCCCGCCCAGCGCGCACCAGCCGGGAACCAGGCAGGGGGCCCACCCTCCCGTGGCCGCCAGGGAGCGCAGTCCGCGAGGGAGGTCGAACCTTGGTGGACGCTGACGTCATGGCCCCGCGCACCTCCTCACGGAGACGCTCCGCCGCCACCACCACGCGAGCTGGAAACCACGGAGAGCCGGGCGGCCGGCAGCTAGGCTCCCGCGCAGGAAGTCCCGCCCTCCTCGCAGTCGATTGGCCGAAATCCGACTTCTCCCCCGTCACTCGCGTCGCCTCGCTGCGCGGAGGAAGACGAGATGGAAGACGTCGCCTCACTTCCGGCTGGCTTCAGTCCACTTCCGTCGAAGGGTCGGGACTGCTCGTTGAGGCTAAGCTCAGCCTTTCAAAGCCCAGGCCCGCCCCCTCCTTACAAACACGGACACCAGGCTTAGGAGAATCGCTTCTTTTTATTGTAGTCCAGGGCGCGCTCGGGCCCGGAGCAGAATTTGCAGGTCCTAGGGGACGCCAGATGGGTGGGACAGACGGGCTGAGGAGTCTTTAAATAGGGGAAGCGGGTGAGAGGGAGAGCCGGGCTGCGCTCTAGCGCACCATGTATTCCTTTCGCTTATTGAGCCGAACTTGGCAGAAGGAGAAGCCGCCGAGGAGGAGGTAGAGGCCGGCGGCGATGAAGCAGTTGTAGCTGACTTGCTCGTACAGGCTGTATATGTTCTGAGGGCCGTTCCTGGGGGTGGCGAGTCAAGCAGGGAAATGTCAGTCACCCAGAGCACCAGTGCGCACGTCCCGCGCGCCACACACCACGCTAAACGCTTTGACTTCTCTTGGACTTCCTGACAATCATACCGGGCGAACTCTATCATGGGATCCATTTTGCAGAGATAGATTAAGGTGCAAGCAGGCAGAATATTGGAAGAGGCCACGTCTAAGCTGGCGGAATTGGGGTGGCCACGGAAGCCTGGCTTGCAAGACTGCTCATTTTGTTAAAACGGTTTAGTGCTGGGGACTGAAACTAGGACCTTGCATGTTAAGCAGTTTGCCACGGAACTGCTTTATAGAGGGCAGCTCTCCTCTTGCAGTTCCCCGACCTTCAGCAGTGTCCCCCCCCACATAATTCTGGCTACACCTGGCTCCCTCTCATTTGCACCCAGCCTCGCCTAAGTACCCGACCACTCACTCAAAATCTTTCTCTGTGAAGGGAACATCCTCGATTAACACAGCGGAGTGGACATTGAAAAATATCCCGAGCATTATCTGGAAGAACAAAAGAATAGGCAGGTTATCAAATTCTGGTACCTTACTTCTTGGTCGCTCCCTAAGCTCCTCCCATTTCTAATGTTGGCTCAACACAACAGTAGAAAGGGTTAGGAGCAGGGTGGTTGTAGCTGGTTTCGGAGGCCTCAAAACCATCTGGAATAGGGCGTCAGGTGGGACACTGGAAAGAGGGGCTGGGTTCAAGGAGGCATAGCTAGCAGCTCTCCAAGACGCGTCATTATCATGGGACTAGGCGGAAGAGAAGAGGGGAACCCTGCACTTTATATTTCCAAAGTGAAGCCCGGTGAGCCACGGAGAAGCAAGGCCTCAGCTAGCATTTTCGGGAGCAAGCACACTTCTTCCTCACCTCCATCTAACTCAAGCATGTCTCAGGGGCCTAGCTCTTGCTTACCTCAAGGGGTCCGCAAATTTACCGGCGCTGGCACCCATTCCCAGGGTCCTGCCCCATCACCCTTTCGCTCTAGTTCTCAATTTTTTCGATCTAAGTTCCGTCTCCTTTCCCAGCGACTCATTAGCCAGACCCTTAATCTATCTGTCACTTCCAAAGCCCTGGGGGTTCCTGGCCTCCCAACCCGTCAACCCCGGAGCCCCGCAGGCCCGCTCCGATCCTCGCGGGGCAGCCCGCTCACCAACATGATCACGCCCCAGGCGCTGAGGACGATGCCACAGGCGGCCATCTTAGGCCCACAGCACAGGAGCGACGCCATGGAGGAGAGAGGGAGGGATCGCTAGAGGCTGAGCAAGGCGCAGAAGCGGCGAGAGGGAAGCCTGGAGACGCCGGGGACAGGGAGCTGGATTCGGGGACTTGCGCGGCACCAAGCGGCGGGGGCGTGGCCTTAGGCGTGGACCACTCCGAGGGGGGCGGCTGGAAGAGAGCGCTGCGCCACGCGGCGGGCCGAGCCTCAGGCGGAGGACGCGGTGTCAGAATCCAAAGCAGCAATTCTACAAGTCCTCCCTGCCCTAAGTGGCAGGGACGTGAGTGATGCAAGAACTAGGGCCTGATGATTCTTCCTCTTCACCTACCCCGTCTTGGAATGGAAGGCGCGGGCATCTCACGTGACCGACTTGACAGGTCACATGACCAGGAACTAGCTTTAACCTGGCCTCTGGAAAGAATCTAATCGGAATAGGGGCCTGCTGACTTCAGTAAGGGACTGTTTCGTTAGATCGAGAAGCTCGGGTTCGTCTAATTCCACATCCTACGCACACATACCTTAGTCTCCGGTGGTCTACTGTGGTGAGGAAAACGGTAAGCGAGACGGTGAAATTACTCCCCGGGCAGGTCCATCGCCTCTATCCAGGTCTCCCTATTGAAAGATGCTTTGACACTTTGAGAGGAAAGAAGAGGAGCCCCTTCTTGAGCCTGAGCATCCTGCTTGAAGGAATGCTTTTCAATAGTCGCGGACTTCTTGACCCTGGAAATGCTTCCCTTGCAATACAGTATCGTTCCAGACGTCACGTTCAGGAAAAATATGGGGCTAGGAAAAGCAGACTCAGTGGACACATTATGAAGGCAAGCGGAATTGCTAAGTGTGGGGGAGAAAGGAGGAAAGACACAAAGAAGTCGCTGTTGCCTCTCCGCTAAAAACGCTGCAGGCACACCGAGTAAGACAATATGTAAGATGAATGTGTCTTGGTCACTGTTCAATGCTGGGAGGAGACACCATGACCAAGGCACCGCTTAAGAAGCATTGAATTGGGCTTGCTTACAGTTTCAGAAGTCGAGTCCATTATTATCATGGTGGGGAGCGTGACAGCACACATGGTATGGCCTGGAGCCATAGCTGAGAGAGATATCCTGATCTGAGGGCAGGACTGACTGGGCCTGGCATGGGCTTTTTAAACCAGAGCCCACCCCAGTGACACACTTCCTCTGTCAGGGCCACACCTGCTAATCCTTGTAATCCTTTCAAACAGTTCCACTCCCTGGTGACCAGAAATACATGATCCTATGGAGCCATCTCATCCAAACCATCAGAAGATATAAACATATGAATAAGGCTGGGCGGTGGTGGCGCACGCCTTTAATCCCAGCACTCCAGGAAGCAGAGGCAGGAGGATCTCTGTGAGTTCAAGGCTAGCCTGGTCTACAAGAGCTAGTTCCAGGACAGGCTCCAAAGCTGCAAAGAAACCCTGTCTCGAAAAACAAAAAACAAAACAAAACAAAACAAAAGAACAAAAAAAAGGCCTTTCCAAAACAAATTTGGTAACACTCACTAGCTTTTAATTTATAGTAATTATTTGGGGTAATTAGATGTTTAAAAAACACTCTCTCCTCTCCAGGGCTGGGGTTCAAGCTCAAAGCCACTGATGAGTAAAAACTTTTGCACCAAGATTGGTGTACCCATGCTAGTAAGGACAATAGTCACAGAATGATTGCGAGAATACATTTTAATCTCAAGACTCCAGGACCAAACTGGGGAACACTGTCATGGACTAGAATCTTGTGGCATTTTTAAAATTTATTTTGTGGATATTGGTCTCAAAATGGTTGTGAAAGATAACTTGGGAAACACAGTGATTGCTGGGTGTTAGCAGCCCAAGACAAGGGTTTTCTGCTTCTCCTTGTGACTGTTGGGGAGGGAAGCTATCGGAGAAAGCTTTTTATTTGGGGCCAGTAACACCCTTATTTAGGGATATTCGGGATATGTGTTCCAACTGGAAAAGTAGGGGTGGAGGGGAAATTGTCAAGAGAGTCAGGAATTTGCATGTTGGCCATCAAACATGAGGGCTGGTTCCTGGCAGAGGAGACTTAGCTGTACTAGTTTGACTTCACCCAGAAATATCATTTTCCTCTCCTCAGCCTCTTGGATGCTTTTTTTTTTCATATAGGCCTGAGGCCTATATGAGGTTAGACCAGATCTAATCTGAAATTGTGCATGTCCCTCAAAGCGCTTTTATCTTCATCCGTTTGCTTGTTTTTTGTTTTGTTTTGTTTTTGAGACAGGATTTCTCTGTGTAACAGCTCTGGCTGCCCTGTAACTTTCTCTGTAGACCAGGCTGGCCTCGAACTCAGAGGTCTGCCCGCCTCTGCCTCCATAGTGCTGGGATTAAAGCTGATCACCACCACCACCTGACGTTGTTTTTGCTTATAAATGGCTGAAGGAAAACAAGCCAAAATCCTCTCTGGTGACTTGTGAGGTTCACATCTCAGTGTCCACACACAGTTTTATTGGAACATAGTCACGCTCATAATGTCAGTGACCGCTTTAGTGGTACAGGGAGAGAGCTAGTTAAGGGTGGTAGAACGTGGATGACCTACAGAGACTAAATTGTTCCTCTTTACAGCAGAACATCTAGTGCCCTGTGGCAGAATACTGATGTGAAGTGTGTTTAGTTGAGGGAGAAATTAATCTTAGCAGCAGACATAAAAAGGCACAGAATCAAGAAGGCAGTGGCAGCCCTGGTGCTGATGGGATTGTTCTGAGTGCTGGCAGCTCGGGCTCAGATGGTGATGCTGTTCTCTATGCGGCTGGGTTTGAGGTATTCATAGGGCAAGTCGAGTTGCTCATTTCGGGCTATGATCTCTCTTTCCAAATTTCCCAGATCTGCTTGAAATCGACTGAGCACAGTTTTGGTTCTGGGGTCTGAGAAATATTTTTCTTTGTGTTGTCCTAGAGGTACCTGAGACAGAATGGATCATTCAGCTTCCAGCCTGAAGACACCCAACCCCTCATGCTGATACCTTTTCCCCAGTTGTTACTTCCCTCTCCTTGGCCCTTACTCACCATGTCTGGCTGGAGGCGACCCAGATGCCATGTGATGGTCATTTGAAGACAGGATTTCTCAATATCAGGTAGCGACCCCATCACCATCTCCATAGTCACATCTTCCTTGTTGGTGGGTGGAGGCATCCTCATGGTGCATGGAGCATTAGGTACCCAGCCATACCAGTCCAGCTGGGGAAAGAAACTAACTCTAGCACCCAGGTATTAGGATTTGAATTCCCACCTCTCCCTTGAATAGCTCAAGGTCCAGACATGTGCTTTCCGGGCCCTGGGCCCTGAGCTCCATACCTGGCCCTGGTTGATGGCGGCGTGTTGAGACGTGCATGTGAAGACACACATCGTAAGGAAATGGCAGAGCTGAGCCTGGGTCTGGAAGGAGACAGGGAAACCTGGCCAGGGAAAGAACAGGACTTAAAGGAGACAGAGTAAGAGGAAAGAAACACAGGATGCTCTGTATTTTAGAACGGATGTGTGTGTGTGTGTTTAAATTTATGTAGCTATATTTGTATCAGATATAGGTTTCAGCACTGGCCTGATTTCTTCCATCTTGGTTACTTTAGATCAGAGGTTCTCAGCTTGTGGGTTTCAACCCCTACAGGGGTCCCGTATCAGATGCCCTGCATGTCAAATATTTACATTTTGGTTTATGACAGTAGTAAAATTACAGTTATGAAGTAGCAACAAAATAATTCTGTGGTCGGGGGTTACAGAACATAGGAACTGCATTAAAGGGTCACAGTGTCAGGAAGACTGGGGGCCACTGCTTTAGACTGGTCACCTGACCTCTCCACACTCGAGAGTGTGAATGCAGTGATGCGTGATGTAATCCCAGCTCAGAGGCAGGAGGCTCGTGAGTTCCTGGCCATCCCACACCACTGTCTGGACTACACAGTGAGATCCTGTCTTTAAACAAACAAACAAATAACAAAAAAGCATCAAAATGATCTGTTTTTAAATAGTGCTCAGCAAATAATAGATACTGTTATTGTGGAAGATTAAGGGCTGGGCAATCAGTCATCCCTAGTCTGTTAATGTAGGGGCTGGAGAGATGGCTCAGCAGTTAAAAGCACGGGTTGCTCTTCCAGCAGTCCTGAGTTCAATTCCCAATACCTACATGGTGGCTCACAACCATCTGTAATGAGATTTGGTGCCCTCTTCTGGCTTACAGGGATACATGCAGGCAGAACACTGTATACATAATAAATCAATTAAAAAAAAAGAATCAATGATGTGCCTGATGGTGGTGGCACGCGCCTTTAATCCCAGCACTCAGGAGGCAGAGGTGGGTAGATCTCTGTGAGTTCGAGGCTAGACTGGGTGATCTACAGAGCTAGTTCCAGGACAACTAGGATTTACAGAGAAACCCTGTCTTGGAAAAAAAAAAAACAAAAAACCAACAACAAAACTAAACAAACTTCTGAGTTTGCCTCATGCCAATTATTTTGCAGTGTGTGTGGGAACTTTGCTTCGAGCTGGTCCATATAATTACATCTGCTTTCTAGATAAGAACATCAAAGGGAGGTTAAATGCTTGTGGAGGTTATCCAGTGGGGAGAAAGACGGACTCTGAACGCGGTTCCCGACGGCACTCCTGTCACCTGTGTTAGTTTTAGCACACTTCCTCTAACTGGAGCAGCACCTTCGGCAAAAGTGAGCTGTGAGTTGAGAGAGAACAGAGAGAGGAGGGGCCGAGAAGCTGCTTGTGAGGATAAAGCTAACATTTATGGTATGGAATGAATGTGTTTCCACTCCTAAGTTATTATTCTGAAATTGCTGACCTGTGTGATGAGGTGTGGACATGAGGAGGCTTTGGAAGTGTATAAGGTCGTGAGGTTAGAGCTCTCCTGAGTGATGGCGGTGTCCTTGTGAGACAGGACAGAGATCTAGTTTGTTCTTTCTCTGCCACGTGGTGCTGAGAGAGTGACCTGTGTCACCTGGAAGAGCACCCACCAGAGCCAAAACATGCTGCTCCGACCTGAGACTTTCAGCCTCCAGAATGGTGAGAAATAAACTTCTAATGTGTAAGCCACGCTGTCTGTTCCGCTGCATTATTTCAATCCCAGCAGACTGAGACGTTGAATATTTATTGTGAATTTCAAGATGTAGATACTGCTTGAGGAGCTGGCAAGGGAGAAGGGTCTTTCTGGACATCTGAAGCCAAAGGATCAGGACTGAGAAACTAGAAAGAGCTTGGTCCTGCAAGAGTAGGGCTAGTGAGCCTCATGCTTCCTCAAGAAGAGGCTTTCTTCAGGGCACACGTGTTTGCTGCATGGCAGGGTCTGGCCATGGTGGTTCCGCTGTGCCATTAAGAAGCAATGAACGGGATTCAAGGTGGTAGTCTGAAGTGTGGAGGGGCAGTGACTGGAGAAGCCTCAGAGCCAGAGAGGAGGCGGCCTTCTGTTTAGCCCAGGAAAGCCTAGTTCTTTCCGGAGCTAAGGGAGGAGGATGGAAGTTGACTGCAAGCAGTGGCTGCACCCTGACTGGTGAGAGGGGTGATGGCGAGCGAGGACCAGATTAACCAAAGAAACCTGAGCCCCAAGAATCAGGATCCTGAATTCAGATCTGAGCCATAGCGTGCAGATAGTGTTGTCTTGGCATCGAGAATGACATCGCAGTTTGGCAAATGTACAGCATGCCAGAACCCTCTGTGTGTGGACAGTAGCAGGCAGGAGGGAAAGGAATAGCCACTGTGAGACATGATGGGCTTTGGTGTGATTTTTTTTTCCATTTATATCTCCAGGTAGGAAAATAGGGAACCATCAATACAGAACTCCATAAACCCCAGCAGGGACTGGGAAGAACTCACTGGCTGTGGTTCTGCTCTAGCTGAGTCTAATATAGAACTATGGAAGGTTATAGATATGAGTATGAGCCGATGGCTGGGGCCTCTTTAGAAGAACAACCGAGGTATATAGGATGCTTCTGGGTGTTTGGAGGCATGGAGGATGCTGTCATGAATGGAAGGGCGGGTGTGACTGGGATTTCTGTCCCCCAGGTCTGGGGAGGGGCCCTTGTCGCTGGGACAGATCTTACCTCTGTCCTGGGCATGGCATAGTCCCACCTCAGTGATCTCCCAACACCAGGCCTGCAGCTCTGGGTCTCCCCTCACAATCTCATCACTCTGGTAGAAGAGGTGGACCATCCCTTCCACGTACCTGCCCAAAGAAGGAAGCTGAGCTGAGAACACGGGCTCCAACCTCTCGCCTCTGCACCTCTCAGCTGGCTCTCACTGTGCCCGGGTTGGATCCTACCACATTTGTGTTTTGAAGTTTTAATTTTCATTTAAAAATTCAAGTAATTAATTTATTGCAGCATTAGGGATCAAAATGAAGGGTTTGCTCGTGCTAAGCAAGCATCCTGTGATTGAGTAACACCCAGGGCTCAGGTATATTGATGTAAGGAAAAGTGGTGAAAGTTAGTCATTCTAACTGCCCATGACTGCTAGTCACTCCGGACAAAACCCTGGTCCTTCCAGATCCCCAGCCTCCACTCTGACAACCTTCCGCGCCTGTGTCCTGTCCCTAGTCTAGTCTCCTTTTAAACCCGACAACTAACTCCACCTGTTCCTCATCCCTTTCTCCGGGGAGACACTTTTTGTCCCAAGTCAGATCTCACCTGGCAGTGACTTTCCAGAGCTGTAAAGCATCCTGAGCATAGAGAGCACTTGGGATTCTCAGCAGGCCTCGGTTGGCCAGGTCATCAGGGGGACAGAGGGAGCAGTAAGTCAGTTGGGCCATTGCCCGAGTGAGCAACTGAACATGGCCGCCTCCACCTGTGCTCACTACCTGGGACAAGAAAGTTGACAAGTCCTGATGGGTGGAAGCGGGGATAGAAAGCCAGGAGCTGTATGGTGCTCAGGCACGGAATTTTCAGATTTGAAGTCACATATATGAATGGACAGGACTCATAGGTTAAGGCTGAGATTTCACCAAAGTTGGTCTGGCATCCCCAAGTGTTCAGACCATCAACGGAAGCACCATACCCCCCTACCCTTACCTGATCAAATATTCCCCCATCTGAGATGAGCTGGGTCCGGCTTCGTGTGTTGATTTCCATAGTGTAACGGATGTGAGGAACTAGGAGCTGGGGTGGAGATTAAAGGGGGCTGTACTCGAGACCTTCCTTGTAGGAACTGACACCAAGTATAAAGTCCTACTGTCCTCTTGATGCTTTCGTTCATGCTGAGGCCTTGGCAGGCTGGACTCTTACTTCTCTGGTCACTTATTCACATTCTCTAAATTCCTCAGGAGTTGTCCTCTAGAGCCGAGGTGACTAGGATTTCAGACCACACCTTACCACTCTGGTACCAAGTTATTACTGTTTAGTATGCAATATTCCAACCTGCCAACAGGGGGCAACAGTAGGCTCTTATCCGAGGGAGCTGCTCCCATATGTATGAATATGTAGGTGATGTGTTTGTAATACCTAAAAGTAGTTGTTATTCATTCTCTTTATTTCCACCCTGAGTGTGGGTGTTTTTAGGAGCTCTCAGCGCCTTTTGATTTTCTTATATTCTGTCATTTGTATCCTCATAGCTTAAATTAGCCTGTATATTCCTTATCAAAACTGCACCTCCATTCTTTGGTTATTTGACGCTTGGGTTTCTTTGGGAGTGGCTTGTGGGGAGGGTATCTGAAGCTATCTGCTTGCACAGCAGAGGTCTCAGCATCCATTCTGTCCCCCAGCCTTGATGGTACCGTTGAGTCTCCTCTCTCCTTTTCCTTGGCTCTTATAAACCTCCACCTCATTCTCATACATCCTTTTTTGTCTTCTTTCTTACACAGTTAATATTCATATTTCATCTAATTTTGGTGTTTATCTGAATTGCTCAAGCCAAACACAGGGACGACTCAAAATCAAAACTCTTTGATTTTGAGATACAAAAGCAACTCACACAAGATTCTGAGTGTCACAGAATGCCCCAAGTCACATGAGAAGAAAAGATGACTGGGAACAACTCCAAACAAAAATTTCAGGGACTTTTTAGATAGCATTTAGCACGTGTCACGTTACAGCCTGTGCCGTTTGTCCTTTACCAACCCAACAGACCCTCTTCACAGTTTAAAATGTGCACAGCCGGGCTGGAGATGTAACCTGGTTAGCAAAATGCTTGGGTGGCATGGACAAAGTCTCTGGGCTCAATTCCTAGCATTCCATAACCTGGGTGTGGTGTGCATGCCTTTGATCCAAGCATGAGGGAGGTGGACGGAGGAGGATTGTGGAGGTCTTTGGATATAGAGAGCTGGAGGCCAGCCTGAGTTGTGTGAGACCCCATCTCAAAACCAAAACAAAACAAGAAAATGGACATTAGGAAAATATCAAGGTATGATTTAGGACTTAGACCCTGACTGTCAAA